CAAAACCCTAGACAGTGTAAATATATTTTACATATGACATATTTAAATGTATATAGCGCTTGCAAACAAATACAATACGCGTATCTACATATATATCTATCTGTGCATCTATCTATCTATCTATCTATCTATCTATCTATTTTATCCGTTCAACTAATTTTTTTCCCAATCATGCAGTGTCATTTATTTGAATTCCAGGCCCCCTGTATAAAATATCAGCGCTTTTATATTGTATATTCTTACATAAATTCATATTTTTGCCCCACGTATTTTCAGTATACATTTCATATACAAAACCCTTTTTATTTGTATTTTTTATTTGATCCCACAGAGGTAAAAGGAAGAAAACATAAAATCAAAAAGCACAGATTATTAAAATCAGATTTTGGTTTGCCTCGGGATTTTCAGCGGCTGAAAATTCAATGTTAAACATGTATATATTTTATTGTAGTGTTATGGGGTAAGAATAGCTGATCTGATTGCCATTCTCACAGGACGGGTTATGTTGTGCTGCACCTCACCTTAAGGGGACCACTCTCACAAGAGGGGTTATGGGGGGCTGCACCTTAGTGAATAGGGCAACCACTCTCAACAGACGGGGTTATGTTGCCCTGCACCTTAGTAATGGGGGGCCGCTCTCACGGATGGGGTTATGGTAGTGCTGCACCTTAGTGAATGGGGGATCACTTTCACAACACTAGTGTTTTGTTGTTCTTCTGTGCCTTGGGGAATTAGGAACCACAAGGCATCTTACGGGAAAGCACTCTCACACGACCAAGGTTTTGTGGTGCTGTACCTTCGTACATGGGGAACCATTCTCACATAGGTATGTGGTGTTGTATCCTAGTTAATAGAAAACAACTCTCTGATATGGAGATAGGTTGTGCTTCAACCTAATGAAAAGGGGGACCTCTCTCTCACAAGACGGAATTGTAGGGTGCAGACCATAGTGAATAGGGGGACCACTCTCTCAAAAAGGGTTTTGTGGTAACCTACTTTAGTGCATGTGGGGAACCACCAAACGGGGTGATTTTTTTCCAGTACCTTAGTAAATAGGGCAAGCGCTCTCACAATTTGGGTTAAATGGTGGTGTACCTTAGTGAATGGGGAGCCACTTTCCAAGACAGGGTATGTTGTTTTGCACCTCAGTGAATAGGAGGGCCACTCTAACAAGACGTGGTGATCTGATGCGGCACGTGAATAGGGGGGCCACTCTACCAAGACCCGGTGATCTGATGCTGCACCCCTGTGAATAGAGGGGCCACTCAAACAAGACGCAGCGATGATGGGTTTCCAGCGGCAGCACTGTGGAGTCGGCCATCTCTTCTGTGCTGATATACTGTACAAATCACCGGTAGAGAACTGTTATCTATATCTATATATCTGTCGTTATATGGACTATTTAATGCACAATGAATACAAATCCCAGTTGTAATGTTACATTCTCACTGTCATCCCATTGCTGATCATTAGTTGTTCTGTATTCTTTGCAGGAGGTTTGGTACAAAGTGTGCAGGGTGCTCCCTAGGAATCTCTCCCAGTGACCTAGTGAGAAAAGCCAGGAACAAAGTATTCCACTTGAATTGTTTTACCTGTATGGTCTGCAACAAACAGCTCTCCACCGGGGAGGAACTCTACATCATAGACGAGAACAAATTCGTCTGCAAAGAGGATTATGTGAGCACCAGCAGCCTGAAGGAGAGCAGCCTCAACTCAGGTGAGATAGCTTGTCTTCTCCTCATTTCTCCAGCTGGTCAATTGCTACTTTCCTTGACGTTGGCATGACGTCATTGTATTTTCCTTTTAGTAGATCATGTGAATGTTAGCCTCCTGTGTGAATTGGATAATGGAACATTGCCTGGTATGTATCAGACGCATACATGGTTTGAGTCTATCACTAGTAATGTCTGCATGGTAGAAACTGAATGTGTTACAATAAATATTGAATTTTATTTGAAGCAGTGCATTTAAAAACCATGTTGTCTCTACTCTACCCACTGCCATTCTATCCTCTGGGATCTCTTCATCCTCTGTAAATCTCTACAACCCCACCCATTTATCTGCATCCTGGTTGTAAAGCTTCTACATGAACCTTTAACAGAGGTGCTGTTTAATCTCAGATTAGCTCATTTCAGCTGTAGCCCAGAGATTCCCAAACACCCCTTCACCTCTCCTACATGCCAGCTTGTGGGTGGAATAGAATCTGAACATCCCCACAAGTGCCAGACACACTTGCTTTTGTTAGGCAGCTAGGAACATTTCAGCAGCTCTGCATACTTTGCTGCCTTCTTTACTACTCTCTACCAGAGATTCCATGTGCCATTTTTTAGCCTGTGCCAGCCAGATGTCCCCTGCAACCTGCACAGCGCCATCATTTTCAATCTGGCCTCTGTTGACTACATATAGCCATAGTTCAAGGTAATCTAAAGTTACACTAAAGTCAGGAGTTAAACCTTAAAATACATTCAAGTACCCTGATTATTAACAAAAATGTATTGTGTATCACTCAGCTGTAGATCCTCAAATCATCTCTGAATTGGTGCTGACGCTGTCATTCCTTCTGGAGGGTGACTACTTTTGTTCCTCCATGGTCCCCGTGTGTGTTGTAAAGTAGCCACCGCTCCAAGCTCACTCCTGTGAAGGACTACAGTTTCAATACAAATGAGTAAACTAAACGTGAGACTGTAGTCCTTCATGGGCGTGAGCTTGGAGCAGTGTCTACTTTACAACACACACGGGGACCATGGAGGAACAAAAGTAGTCACCCTCCAGAAGGAATGACAGTGTCAGCACCAATTCAGAGATGATTTGAGGATCTACAGCCCAGTGATGCAAAAATAAGATACATTTTTGTTCACAGGGAACTTGAATGTATTATTAGGATTTACCTCCTGAGTTTAGTGTCACTTTAAACATGAACACATTCAGTCAAACTAAGTGAACTAATGTGCAAGACTGAACTATTCTCCTTAACAGATCAACCCTATATCCTACTAAATTATGGGTATTCTCCTTCAGAATAAAGCTATTCAACTGTAACCTTTTTGTTTGTCAGTCTGCCAGTTTGTTCATTGAAATACTTGTTTCATCCGTTCTGTGTGTGTATCATGTATGTGTGTTGTAGACAGTCTGACCAGAACTGCCATGTTAGTGTTTATAAACAGTTTTGGAAAATTACAGTTGGAGCAGGTGGTGGCACATTGGTGGCTGTTGGAAAATATTTACAACTTTTAATTTCAGAATAGTTTGTAAAAATCTCACTGTGGACAAATGAACATGTATTTGTTTTATCACAGTTTGTCCTCCACCAGCTGCAGCAACATTGATTTTTTTTGTAATACCAGTTTGTACATATGCATTCAGGATGATACTCAACAAGGCTAAGAACCACAAGCAGTAATCTATTCTAACTAGTCAGATATCATGTTTCTAATATGACTTTACCAAACTGCAGGCTAATTGGTTGGCATGGATTTTGAAATTATGTTTTACCAAATAATCCATAAAGCGTTAACTTTTAAAGTCTTTACTGGGTTCCATTGTACCTGTGGGCAGGAAAAAACACAGCTAATCAGACACCCTCAAGTGCCTGCACATCAGCTGTCATACCCTGTAGACCACTCCAGGGTCCCCATAACAAAAGGCTCCTCACTGATAAGTAATTAGTGAGCAGCTTCCATGGTGGTGGGTTCTAGCACACCCCTCTCTCACCTTACTTAAGGCCCTTTACTGCGAAGGGCAGCCTCACTAATCAAGAGTAAAGCGATTTTCAGGTGAAATAGAGGAGCCTGATGGCCAATCTATATATATATATATATATATATTGATAGTTTTTCCCCACAGGTTTGCTTTAAGTTGACCTCTGTGACATAGTATACGTTTTACATATTTGTAGCATATTACACCCGTGCCTTTTTATGTTCCCTTATATCATATTTACATCCCTAACAACCAGCCCAATCAGGAGAAACATTGTTTAAAAACATATTTGATGTTATCCCTATATATTAGTGGTTTCCAAACTGGCCTGTAGGTTCAGGTGGTCGCTCTTTGCTTGCATTTAGGTGGCCCATGGGGCACTGTTCATCCCAATGATGCCAGTGATGTGGCATAATCTCTCCCACTGCCACCAACATCGGAGCACTATTCCTCCCACTGCCACCAATAATAAGGGAAGTATTACTCTCGTCCACACAAATGATGGGGCATTATACCTCCCTCTGACACCAACAATGAGACACTCTTCCTCCCAGAGACACCAATGTCAAGGTGTCTAACTATTTCTTCCACTGACATTAATGATGGGGAACTATTTCTGCCACTGCAACCATTGATGGAGCATTATTGCTCCCATTGTCCATTGAGCCTGTGGTATTTTGATGTGGCATATTGATGGAGCATATTTTGTTCCCATTGTCCATTGAGCCTGTGGTATTTTCTTCTCCCATTGGCTGCAGACTGGCCCCCTAAGTTACCTGGCTCTTTGTTTAAAATGCTTGGGGGGCCCCTGCCCTATAGGAAGGGTGACTGCATTTAAAAGCTGAAATCATTATGATTACTAATAGTTCTGCATGTTGTGTTAATGGAAAATGTGGATTGATATATCACTGGAGTTAACTCATTACCTACCTAAGAAATTCGCTTTCTTTGTTAAAAGTTGTATTCAGCCTTCTGTGCCATTCTGCTTCATAAGCATTTACTACCTGGTTTATTGATTTGTTTTATTTATTTCATTGTCTTCTTGCCACAATCTCACTATATGTTTCATTGCCCCATGCTTCTATTTATCTTCATGCGTCATCTACTTAGACAACTTATACTTTAAATAGGAAATATTTTCAGGCTTATTTAATAACCTAATGCAAAGAACAGTGATATAAAGTAACCCGTACAACCCATCCTTTTTAATTTTCATCAGTTTAATGTAGTTAAAGCAACAGACAAATATTGCTGATTGTTGGCCATTAGTGTTACAGTTCTGCATAGCAGGCTTTACTTTTTTAAATATCTTTTTATTTTCTCCTTTAGTATGAATTCTAGTACCAACAAGTGCCTATTTTAAACAGTTATAATTTGTAATGAATATTGCCCTACATGCTGTCAATTCATACCTAAGTTTGATTCAGGAATAGTGTCTTTGCAGTATTACAGTCTTTAAAATGTGAACATTGTTGCACTGGCTCTGATACTTTGGTGTACACTGTATTGCTCATATAGTGGCATACAATGATGCTCCTTCACTAAATGGGTTAAGAATAATTACTTAAAAAGAGTGAAGAATCACTTAATTCATCCAGTTGTTTGCAAATGAGATAAATAAACATGATTGGATAGTTAAAGTGAGTCTTCACTCTTAAAGAAACATTCTCAACTCCTTTAGTAAATCAGCCTCAGTGTGTCACTTTATTAATCACTATCCTGCAGTCACATCTGTTGTTTTGCTGTAATAGTGTTAGGTTTATTTGGCCAGCCTTTTAACAAGCTATATATAGCTCAATGGAGCACTTGGAAATGAAGAGGTGGGCATAATACTCAATTAAATTAGTAAACGTATAGTACATTATTTAGGTTGTGGTTAATCTAGAGGCATCATTAAAAAAACAAACTTTAAATTGAGTAGTAGGGCAGCATTATTAAATTATTTGGGGGGGAAATAATACCTCTTTCCTCGCATGAAAAAAACTAACTTACAGGTTAGGTAAAAATCACATTGCCTCTGACTACCAGATACTTTGAGGGTGTTTGACATAATCAGAGCTTGCAGAGAGTACATTGCTTTTAATCAGATACCTTATCATTAACATTAGAAGATCAGTAGGAATCAGAGCCTGTATATGTTACAAGGAAATATGGATGTCTATCCTGCATATATAGTATAGTTGAAAACTACAAAGAGAAAAAAGGTTATCAAACGAATCAACACAATTTGATATCATTATTTACATTTAGCTGAACTTTTCCTTCTATTAATCTAAGAAACAGTAAAAGGGTTATAGGTCTTCTTCAAGACAGTAGTTGTGTCTTAATAAAGGATATGCAAGATTGTACTGTATCTTTTCATTGAGGGAAAACACTTGTAATAAATCCAATGGCTGTTGGAAGGTACCATGAAAAGATTAGTGAAAAACATATGCAAAAGATATGCAAAGGCACACAGTGCTGATGAAACCTCCACCTTTCTCCATTTGCTAACTCTCACTCAGGTACTCTTTAAGACATTAGTGGACAAGGGCCTACAACCTATAATTAGGAAGACATTCATACACTGCATTTACAGAGGTGAAAAGAAGATCTATATGACCTTGTGTGTGGAAGTGCACTTACCATAGTTCATGTTCACAAGATCTGTCCTCATCACACCAAGGTAATATCTCTTTTTGTGTGTAATCTATGTTCTAAACACCAAGAGATGAAGCTGTCCTCAGTGGCAGGCAGCTAGATTCAGCTGAAAGTGCCATTCATCTGACAGTGGCTCCTCACGCTTGGTATAACTAGAGAAATTGTTGTGCACAAGAAGAGCAGAGAGGTAATGGAGAGACAGCAGTAGGTTAAATTAATTTATGCCTTAGAGAGTTCTCAGAACGGGCCCTTATCCTGTACATTACTTGTGCACCATCATACATTGAAGCCATCACAATCTTTAATATACTCATTGTTGTATTGCAGTGCAATAATACATACATGTACAGTATGTCCCAAGATTCACTAGACTAAACACCAAACCCCCTCACTTCTACCTTATTCCAGTTTTGTGAGAGCTATAATTGGACTATTTGAAAGTGAAAGCTCTGGCTATGGGCCCAGACTTCCATCCAGATTGCCCTTATTTTAATACACCACTGGTAAGGGAAAACACGTTTT